GACCCTCCTAAGTTCTCCACAAGTCGTCTCTGGCCCCTCTCTGTTTCTCCAGGACAGTCCCAGTCCAGAAATCACTCCCCTGGCAACAGAATGAGTGCAAAGGTGCACAGGCTCATCTGCTGTAAGCACACCCCACCCCTGACTTCCTCCCTCCAGGAGCTCACGCCCCACCCTCAGTACGCCCTGAATGTCAGCCACTCAGGGCAAAGTCGCTCTGGGTTCATGACCCACGAGGCCTTGCCTCACTCCCAGGTAACCTCGAGCTCAGCACGGGACTTCTGAGGACACCTGTGAGTACTGCCTGGCCAACGCCTCTGCAGCTCAGGGAGCCCCACCACCAGCTCCATCCCGGAGTGCATTCCCACAGCCTCTGCTTCTCTCCCCGTCTCCCTTTCTCTCGGACTTGCCTCACCTGCAGCTGAACTCACGAAGGCCTCCGTCACACATGATCTGTACGGGCCATTTATCGCTGGCGCTAAACGCTGTTTCCACTCTGGTTTGCTTCCAAGTGCACACCGACTGAGGTCGAATGACTGTTTAATAAATTAGTTGCTTGGGTAGAACGGAAAATGTTTACTTTTTCTATTTGAAATCTCAAATGTACCCAGAGCACAGAGGCATGTGTAGAGTAATATGTATAACTTAAAAATAAAAAAGGAAAAGCCTGGCACATCTGATCCAACAAATCCTCTCAAGAAGGTTTTTTTGGAGACGTTTTTGCTATAGGGTACACACACTTGCTAGAAAGACAGAGAGACAGAGAGACAAAAAGCGAGAAATCACCCCCAGGGGGACAGCCATGCCACAATACCTTCTCCATTCTCCTCTCAGGATCTTGGGCATGCATGCACATGTGCCCAGTGTGAGTTTAAGCCACTGGGTCCAGGACTCAAACCATCAGAGGCAGGTCGGGCTTCACCAGGAGACCTGCCATATAACTCGATGAAGTAAGAATCAGAAGGACGGGAGGGGGGCCAGCAGGTGGTGTGGTGGATAAGGGCGCTGGATTACCACATGGCCAACCATGGTTCAAGTCCCAGACCTGGTGGCTTGCTTTCTCACTTTCCCTTTCTCCCTCTCTCTCATCGAATAAAGAAAAAAATAATAATAACAAATGGAAATAAATAATTCTTTAAAAAAAAAAGGACTGGAGGTTTCTGAGGATTCATGAGCAAGGATAACAACAGAATCGGAACCTTGCAGGGCCAGGGAAGTGCCGAGTGCAAGCCCGGGGGCAGGTGTTAGAACAGGAAGCCTGACGGGCACAGGAGCCTCTGCACTCAGGGGCTATCTCCCTTCATGGCTCAACGGCGTGACAGGCAGTGGCAGGGGGGCCATGGAGGCCAGTGATAGCTTGAGAGAATGCACCTCCCAGGCAGGTGGCAGCTTGTCGGACCTGCTCTGCACATGGCAGGGCTGAGGGCAGAGTGAGAAGACACGGCTTCTGCTCCCAAGAAACCACACACCCTGGATCAGGAGAGGGCTCGGTGCGGGCACGATGCAGGCAGCCCCTAACACACTGAAGGCCGAGGACAACCAAACTGCTCGTCATGAATTAAAAGAGGTTCCTGAGAACATCTCTGTCCTCCCCAGGCAAGCAGTCAGCTTGTTCTGCGTCATGGCTATCCCTTCATCCTCTTCCTTCCCTTTCGTGACACTTTTCTCCAAAAGACCCTCCTAAGTTCTCCACAAGTCGTCTCTGGCCCCTCTCTGTTTCTCCAGGACAGTCCCAGTCCAGAAATCACTCCCCTGGCAACAGAATGAGTGCAAAGGTGCACAGGCTCATCTGCTGTAAGCACACCCCACCCCTGACTTCCTCCCTCCAGGAGCTCACGCCCCACCCTCAGTACGCCCTGAATGTCAGCCACTCAGGGCAAAGTCGCTCTGGGTTCATGACCCACGAGGCCTTGCCTCACTCCCAGGTAACCTCGAGCTCAGCACGGGACTTCTGAGGACACCTGTGAGTACTGCCTGGCCAACGCCTCTGCAGCTCAGGGAGCCCCACCACCAGCTCCATCCCGGAGTGCATTCCCACAGCCTCTGCTTCTCTCCCCGTCTCCCTTTCTCTCGGACTTGCCTCACCTGCAGCTGAACTCACGAAGGCCTCCGTCACACATGATCTGTACGGGCCATTTATCGCTGGCGCTAAACGCTGTTTCCACTCTGGTTTGCTTCCAAGTGCACACCGACTGAGGTCGAATGACTGTTTAATAAATTAGTTGCTTGGGTAGAACGGAAAATGTTTACTTTTTCTATTTGAAATCTCAAATGTACCCAGAGCACAGAGGCATGTGTAGAGTAATATGTATAACTTAAAAATAAAAAAGGAAAAGCCTGGCACATCTGATCCAACAAATCCTCTCAAGAAGGTTTTTTTGGAGACGTTTTTGCTATAGGGTACACACACTTGCTAGAAAGACAGAGAGACAGAGAGACAAAAAGCGAGAAATCACCCCCAGGGGGACAGCCATGCCACAATACCTTCTCCATTCTCCTCTCAGGATCTTGGGCATGCATGCACATGTGCCCAGTGTGAGTTTAAGCCACTGGGTCCAGGACTCAAACCATGGTCAACTACAAGGGAGTCCAGCTACACAGCCATTACACTAACTGCTGGTCCCATTGCAGTAGTTTTTAAAACCACTGGCCTAGGAATCAGGGGCTGCAGTCCTAGTAATCCCTCTAACCGCTTTGGGTAAAACCCTCACGGGCTGTGCCTCAGAGCTCCCATCCAATCAGAGGATCTCTTGAAATTCTGCTTCTCTAGAGGTGACTCTGGACCTCTGGGGGGTCTGCATTCATTCTTCCACCGAGTGAGAGCGGGTTTAAACACCAAGTCTGAAGTTGAAAAGCTTCGACTTAGACTTTCAGACCTTTCCAACGCCGCATCTTCAAAAGTTCCTTAGTGCACGCAAGGCTGCCAGCCCAGTGCAGGGACGTGCAGAGCTGTGTCAGGACCACCGCAGGGGCCCACACGAGACAACGCCACGTGGCTGGCTGTCACACTGCATACTCACCTGTGCCGGCGTGGCAGGGCCCTTTCCAAACAGAGCCGGGGGGCTTTAAGGAAGCAGGGCAGTGTACATGGCTCCTGGAAGGTGTAACTCAGCACCCTGCACCCTTGGCCCGGACACTCAGGATACATCCAAATGCACAATGCATGTCGAGGCCTTCTCGGACTCATTTCATGGAAACACTCCCTCTTCTCTTCACTGGCATGCAGCCTTTGCCCTTTTCCAACATAGGCGGGACTTCCCTTTGGACCATTTGGCCTTCATAAACTCCTGCTTCTTTCACATCCCTGCACTCTGATGTGAGCTGAATCTGCTCTTCCCGAGTTGTCGCTCCGAGGCCCCGATCCAGCTCTCTGCTCTGTGGATTCAGATGGAAACCGACTGACGCTGGCGCCGCGAAGCGTCTCCGGAGCTGCCTTTGCCCACTAGAGTGCTGACAGGGCCGTGCCATCGCCACGCCCCTCCCTGGTGGGAAGTGCCAGGGCAGAGCGTCTGACTCCAGGGCCCGCTCCTAGGCACAGAGAAACCGACTGGCAGGCTGACTTGGGCTCTGATGCATTTATGGAGAAGTTAAAGGATTCAGGGTGTTTGGGTGACAATCAAATTGCAGTAATGCTTGATCACATTATCCCAGATAGTTCCAGCTATCTGAACACAGCTCAAAAGCATTGTTTTCTTCCTTCCTTCCTTTCTAAATTTCCTATAAGGCACGTGTACTGGCAGAGAGAGAGGAGGGGGAGTGAGAAAGCATTCCTGGAAGGATTGTCATGCTGCAATCCCTTCTCCATTGTCCTCTCAGGTTGTGGGGCATGCGTGAACTGGCAGTTTCAGGACTCAAGTAGCAGTCGGCCATGTGGGACCCAGCTGCCTTAACCACCACACCACTGGCTGGCCCTCAATGTGACACTCTTTAAAAGTTTCAGGTGCAGGGCTAGCAGGTGGCATAATAGTTAAGGCACTGGACTCCCACATGGCTAACCACAGTTCAAATCTCAGAACTGGTGGCTTGAAAATCACACTGGGTGTGTGTGCATTCATGCCCCAAATCCCAAGAGAACGGAGGAGAGGGGGTTGAGGCAAAAACGTAAGAAAATAGTTGCAGGTGCACGGTGCTCACCAAACCTCTGCAAGAACCTGTTTAAGTGCCGCTGTAAGCGCAGAGTGGAGACCAGCCCGAGCCAGGTGCAGTGTAAGGTCATGTCCTGAAAACTGCACTGGGTGTCTGACGCTTGTTCTGGGAACTGGAGTTGCAGAACTTGCTCCAGCTCCTCACTGTAGTGTCAGACGGCAGGACAAGGAGGGTGTGCACACACGAAATTCTCCCTGCCTCTCCAGAAGTGAGGATTCTGGAGTGGGACCCCTGCGTACACATAGTAGGCAAGTCCCACTTCTTGGGACAGAGACATCTGTTTTACCTGCACAGCTTCCTGAAGTCTGTCCATAAACATTTACCTTTTCTTTTTTGAGAGATTTTTGCTATAGGGCGCGTGCGCTCTATAGAAAGACAGAGACAGACAGAGAGACAGAAAGTGAGAAATCACCCCCCAGTGGTGATGGCCACACTGCAATCCCTTCTCCTCCATTCTCTTCTCGAGATCCTGGGCACACACACACACACTCGACCGGCGTGAGTTTAAGCCACCGGATTCGGGACTTCAACCGCCGTCAACTACATGGGAGTCCAGCGACATAGCCATTACACTAACTGCTGGTCCCGTTTTATTTTAAACTTTCAGTCGGCTGTCTGCTTCGAGTGTATAAAAGGACAGTACACTCCAAAGTATTAGATGACCTGAAGACTGCAGAAACAGCCGTTTTAAATTTTCAAAAAAGTCACCATGCAGCCTTGATAGTGTTTGAAGTCCTGGCCTGGAAGAAAAAACCCCCCCCGCAGGCCTAGGGACATCGGGGCCAGTACGGAGAGGACGCCAAGACCACCGCCCGGGTGGGGGCGTTGGGACCCGGGCAGGGGCAGCCGGCCGTTACCGTTGGAAGTAGTGCACCACGAACATGGCCAGGAGGACGCGGTTGGGCCAGTGGCTGAGGCGCGTGGCAGACGCACGCGCGCAC